AAAATGCAGTATTTTCTGCTCACATCTGTGCATGACCTTTTTATCTCCCGTTGCTTTAACCACTTACCTATCGGGCATTTATACCCCCTTCCTGCCCAGGGCAATTTTCAGCTTTCAGCGCTGTCACACTTTGAATGACAATTGCGCGGTCATGCAACACTGTACCCATATGAAATTTTTATCATTTATTTTTCACACAAATAGAGCTTTTTTTGGTAGTATGTACTCACCGCTGGGTGTTTTATTTTTTGCGCTATAAACAAAAAAAAGTTTTTCTTTCTATTATACAATTTTGCAAACAGGTAATGTTTCTCCTTCACTGATGTGCGTTGATGAGGCTGCACTGATAGGCAACACTGATGAGCACTGATAGGCAGCTCTGATTGGCACTGATGGGCGACATTGATGAGGTGACATGGATAGGCAGCACTGATGGGCGGCACTGATGAGCTGGCACTGAAGAAGCGGTACTGGTAATGCTGCACTGATATGCAACAATGATGGGAACTGATAGGCGACACTGATGGGCACTGATAGGCGGCACTGATGGGCACTAATGGGTGGCACTGACTGGCGGCACTGCTGAGCACTGATGGGTGGCACTGCTGGGCAGCACTGATGGGTGGCACTGCTGGGCACTGGTGGGGGGCATTGCTGGGCAGCACTGATGGGTGGCACTGATGGGGGGCACTGCTGGGCACTGGTGGGGGGGTACTGCTGGGCACATGTGGGTGGCACTGATGGGCACTGGTCAGCACAGGTGGGTGGCACTGCTGGGCACAGGTGGGTGGCACTGCAGGGCACCTATGGGCAGCACTGCCGGGCACAGGTGGGCGGCACTGGTTGTCGGCACTGCTGGGCACCGATCATCAGGGCACTGATCATCAGTGCCCTGATGATTGGTGCCGATCTGTCCTCTGACAATTGCCGGTTATCGGCAGTACTTTCCTCATGCTGTGACAACGTGAGGAAAGTGCAGCCGATAACTGGCAATTGCATGTACCGGTGATCTGCTGTGTCATTGGACACAGTGATCGCGGGTGCGTGGCGCCCCAAGTGGCGCTCAGGAGGGTGTGTTCTGGAAGGACGTCACATGACGCCCTTACAGGACTGGACAACTGCGCTGTAGCCATCATTCGCCAATAGCGGGGTTGCCAAGTGGTTAACATACTTGCCATAACCGAAACATTACCACAGTAGTTATTTACAGCACAATTGAATTGAACATTTACACAAATGTGTAAATACTGGTGAAGCACTAGTACTAAAAATGTATCACCCATCACGAGCACCTACATGTTTTGTCTGCAATCCTTTGGGATTTTATTACATATAGACACCTGTGTGTTGAACGTAGTGTTGTCTGGACATTTATATGTGTTTGCATGTTTTTTTTGCATGTGCATTTATTATGTTATTTGGCTGAGATTCTATTATGTGGACACTGTATTTGTCACAGCTGTTGTGTGTTCTTACCCCCTGAGGGGTCACCCATATATCCACCATTAGTCCCCTGTGTGGATGGGGGGGTTGATTTGTTTAATCTTTTTCCATTTGGAAAGGGATCACGTTTATAAGTAGAGGTTTACCTACTCCACTTTTTGCAGCACCTTATTTGATTCGAGTGGATTTGCACTTTATAGGTTCACTACACTTTTATGCATTATATTTGTTGCTGTTTATATGTATTTTATATGTAATTTACATTTTTAGTACTTGCGCTTCACCAATATTTACATTATTGTCTTTTTACCTAATGAAGTCAGGTCAGGTGACAGCAGCTCTCTTGTAGTTCTCTTGTAGTTCTCTCCATTTAAAGCGCAGGAGGTCCTATCCAACATTTAGACAAATGTTTCCACATGCGTTATTTTACTGCATTTTTACAGAGTTATTTAACTTTTAGTGAATTGACCCTAATAGGTGGCATAAAGATTGAAAAGTCAATTTAACAGAAAGGAAAAAATGGGAAATCTTCAAACTAAAAACACTTGCTGCAGTTACAACACTCTCAGAGGGAAATTTCCTCACTGTGGAAAGATTTCCTCTCACTTCTTGTGCCTACAGAACAATTAAAAGGTAATATCCCCATTGGGATATAGATGGAAAAAATAATTTGCCACTATATCCAAAACTAAAAAAGATAAGTTTTAGTTTTACTTACTGTATATTTTAAGTCTAACCATAAAAATGTAACTGTTCTATGGGAACTGATCAAGAGAGTGCCTACGATTCAGACAAATGTCAGTGCAGGCAAGAGAATAATGCACCTGTTGGAAACAAGTACAGGAATTTGTGTCAAGTACAGCATGTGGAGGCGCAGTGCGGCCAGAGTGTCCCATATGGATAGTCCATTTTCCCTCCCGTGACTGCAGCTGCCAGACAGCATCGCGGCCAAGGAGTTTTGTAGTTGGGTGTGCGAAGCCTGATGAGGATTCAGAGACACTAGTTCACAGGTCCCAGTCTTCCATAAATATTTAATTGCTAATCAGGTGGTACTCCCAACAGTACACCTGGGTGGTTGAGCTGGGTTGAAACCTACAAAACTATCTCAGTTTGTCAGTTTGTGTCCAGCTAAATGCCCCCCATGGAAAAAAAATAACAACTTCCATATTTCCTTAGTATTAGAGGTCAAATCAAGTCAAGTATAGCATACACGAATACTGGTATTACTATACAACATGCACATGCATGGACTCAAAACAATTGTTGAGATGTACAGTATAATACGGTACTCCCACATCCTCGCCCACTCCTACCTAAACTGAAAACGAAAATTGATAACGGTTTAATTGATGTCTGGGACTCTTTTTTCGCAGTACCTAGTCCACGCTAAAGACAGAACGGTAAACTCCTGCATAGAGCGTAGTTCACATCACATCATCTGCACAAGCTAGCACATACAATGTCTCAGTTGTGCAAGACATGTAAAGGTGATATGGCCTGAAAACATCAATATCCTGGATATATTGCAATATAATTCCTGTATATATTGCACACACAGCAAATACCAATCTTACATCCTCTCAAAGTACATGTTTATTAGGGTTGGCTGATTATGCGCCTGGATTGCTACTATTCGATGCAAGGAAAGATGTAGCCATGAAATGGAAGCAACACAACCCTCTGCGTTTGCAGTTTTGGAGGAAATTCATAAATATCAATTTGCATTTATATAAGGCAGCATAGAATATCAGGTTGCCCATCTACATTTCTAAAGTATGGTCAGCCTGGATGGATAATCCTCTCATTGCCACAGAAATAACAATAGATCAATGCTAAATATTCTGTACCCATCTTTCTGTTTATGACAATAACTTACTGACACAGGTGTAAATCCTTTCGAACATATCTCCTCTGATGGTAGCAGACCTTCTTCTATTTTTCTGGGCCAATCCAATGTGTGAATTCCAAGCTTCTTTGTGCAGCATGAAATGTAATATATATTGACCCTGGGTAATTTGGATATCATTTATTTTCTCTGGGGGAAAAAGATAAACCACATTTATAGGGATCATTGCTAATTTAAAAGTAAAATTATTTTTCATTTTTAACTGATATAAATAGCTTTTTACATGTTTTTCTAGTGAGGCCCCCTTATATGCGTTGCATGCCACTAACCACTCAGAATACTGTCCCAACCACACCACTCTTCATTAAAGTGTCATTTGTGACGGACACGGTGTCCGGCCCCCCAGCCCTTCTCACCAACTCGTGACCGTAGGACTAGCCAATCTAAAACCGCGTTGTCACATGCATAACAATACCACGCTCAGCTGCATCCTGCACAAAGATTTTCCAGTTAATGGACCACAATCTATGTACTGCAGCCTGAGAGAGATTGTTACTGGGTCAGGTTAATTATGCAATTATCCCTTCACACTGCCGCCACCTCCTTTTTGTACGGAGAAGGAGGAAACTCGCCAATCTTAGCAGTAACAATATGATGTTTGAATAAGCGTCTGTATACCACTGTCACCACAGGCAGATGTATTCAAAAGTTTAAAACACACAGTAGCGCTCTTCAGAGACAGGGATTCTTAGTTTGCATTAAAGAGCTTTAGAAACAGTTCAACACTTTTCAGATAATAGGATTTATTACTAAAAAGGTAAAAATGGTGCAATAAAAATATTTACAGACTTGGTGCCCGCTGTTCCGCCAGATGACTCGGTGCCCGCAGTCTTGCCAGATGACTTGGTGCCCGCAGTCTTGCCAGATGACTCGGTGCCCGCAGTCTTGCCAGATGACTCGGTGCCCGCAGTCCTGTCAGATGACTCGGTGCCCGCAGTCTTGCCAGATGACTCGGTGCCCGCAGTCCTGTCAGATGACTCGATGCCCGCTGTTCCGCCAGATGACTCGGTGTCCGCTGTCTTGCCAGATGACTCGGAGCGCGCTGTCTTGCCAGATGACTCGGAGCCCGCAGTCTTGCTAGACGACTCGGTGCCTGCAGTCTTGCCAGACAACTTGGTGCCCGCAGTCTTGCCAGATGACTCGATGCCCGCTGTTCCGCCGGATGGCTTGGTGCCCGCAGTCTTGCCAGATGACTTGGCGCCCGCAGTCTTGCCAGGTGACTCGATGCCCGCTGTTCCGCCAGATGACTCGATGCCCGCTGTTCCACCAGATGACTTGGTGCCCGCTGTCTTGCCAGATGACTCGGAGCCCGCAGTCTTGCCAGACGACTCGGTGCCCCCAGTCTTGCCAGACGACTCGGTGCCTGCAGTCTTGCTAGACGACTCGGTGCCCGCAGTCTTGCCAGATGACTCGATGCCCGCTGTTCCGCTGGATGGCTTGGTGCCCGCAGTCTTGCCAGGTGACTTGGCGCTTGCAGTCTTGCCAGATGACTCGGCGCCCACGGTCTTGCCAGATGACTCGGTGCCTGCTGTCGAGCTTAAAGACCCGATGCCCGCTGTTTTGCCAGATGACTCGGTGCCTACTGTTTTGCCAGATGGCTCGGTGCCCGCAGTCTTGCCAGATGACTCGGAGCCCGCTGTCTTGCCAGATGACTCGGTGCCTGCGGCTCCGCCTGGTGGCCTGGTGCCCGCTGCTCCGCCTGGTGGCCCGGTGCCCGCTGCCCCGCCTGGTGGCCCGGTGCCTGCTGCTCTGCCTGGTGGCCCGGTGCCCAGCCTGATGTGCCTCTGTCCGGTGCCCAGCCTGATGTGCCTCTGTCCGGTGCCCAGCCTGATGTGCCTCTGTCCGGTGTCCAGCCTGATGTGCCTCTGTCCGGTGTCCAGCCTGATGTGCCTCTGCCCAGTGCCCAGCCTGATGTGCCTCTGCCCGGTTCCCAGCCTGATGTACCAGTCCTTGATATCCCACCAATTACCGGATCCGGGCAGTGGAACATTTTGCCCATTTAGGACGGTTTGGAGCGTCCTGAGGCCGCTCCTTGAGGGGGGTTCTGTCAGGAATGGACTCGCCAATAGTGGTGGGACTCACCTGCCTTGTGGGTTGCAGTACCAGGACTGACCAGCGGGTGCTCTCAACAACCAGAGGCTCACTCCGGCAATTAGCCACCACCTGGGGCTGATTGCAGGTGGTGTATTTAAGGGATGGCCAGACCTGCAGTCAGTGCCTTGTTGTACTGTTTGCTTGGCCCTGGTTTCCTGATCCTGTTACTTCTGTCCTGACTCTGCTTGAACTCTGCCTGTACTGACCTCGGCTAGTCCTGACCACTCTCCCGCCTGCTCCTGGTACTCCGTTTGCCCGTTTGCTATCGACCCGGCCTGTCTGACTACTCTTGTATTGTATGTTTGTTATCTGTTGGAGGTTTGGTTCAGTTTGTTTGCACTGTGTTTATGTTTAGTTTTGCACTGCGTTTGTATTGTTAGTCTTAATAAATTATATTATTTACTATATCTGAAGCCTGCGTTTCCCTGTGTCAGTCCACACACTTCTGGTCATACCCGCATCCCTGGGATAATATGCAGAATCATCTGCTGAACATCTAGATATCAGATATGACATATCTACCTGTGCCGGTTAAAGAGATATCTCTTTCTGCTCTCGGGTAGACTTAATCTAGGGGTGTAAGATATCAGGCAACTCGCATTAAACTGAGCTATCCGAATATATGCTTTGTTCGATTGTATGTATTCCCTATTTTAAGTTATGAAAAGTGTTTTTTTAAATGGGATGTATGTTTTACGGCTATTCTGGAATGTGTTTGAAGTCCAGTGACTGACGGGTTTTTGGCTTTACGATTAGCTTCAGAGCAAGAGTTTGCCAGACACCCTGGCATCAGCTAATTGGGTTTACAACCATGAAGGATATCCAACTGTGTCCTGTATACTCCTAAACCAGCACACAGGGACCACGTGTCACTCAACAGAGAGGGAGGGGGGAGCTGATTTGGAGTGAGAAATGATACAAGATGGAGGGTCTTGAGCAAGATGGATGACCTTGTCCATATCTGTGTGCACAATTGCTACATCATTAAACTCAAAAATATTTTAAGAGTATGTATCTATAAAAATAGATATGGTACCTTTTCTTCAAAGCAACTGTACAAAGGTATCTGACAGGGCTAACCATCCACACTTAAAGATGGCCGCCGGCTCCTCCTAAATGCCGTGACGTCACGCCGTTGGAGCAACGTGGAGCTCTGGCGGCCATCTTTAAGTGTGGACGGTTAGTCCTGTCAGATACCTTTGTACAGTTACTGTGTACATTCACCTGGATGCTTTTACTTTTATGTTTGCCTGGATGCTTTTATACTTTCAATTAAAATACCTGAAATTACTACACTATTGGCACATCTCTGCTTTAACTCCCCTGGGGAGTATTGATTTCCAGACAACCCAATATTCAGTATCCAGAGAGGGAGCTTCCTGTACATCTTGTGAGCTGCACCCATCCACCCCTTAAAGGGGACTCAGTAGTTTCCTGATCATCATTTAAAGTCCCAGGACCCATACACCCTGTGAGGGATTCAACCCCGCTCCTTTTCCACCATAGATGACCTCTGATGACATCATGATTTGATATGCAAACACGCATTTTATTATGCGTTCCGGTGAGTGCGCATTTCTTCCATATCTGATTGCACTCGTACCAAATTGAGGAGAACGCAGGATTCCTATGAGCACCTAAAGTCACTTTATGAACATTTCTCATGATTTTATCTTTTAAAACTTTATGACATTTATTTCACTTGTACCTTTTTAATTTAATTTATTATATTTTTAGCGCTGCACATTTTTGTATATATTGTATCTTTGAGGTTTATTTGGTTACCTTGGTGCATAGCGGCTGACCTTTCATGCGTGCGCTCGCATATACTTATTAATATCTAGTTGTACGTACAGCTGTGAATAGCCATGGATAGCTGTGGCCACTGTTCACACACACACCTCTCATTCCAAATGCAGGAATTTGCAGGGTGCGCATGCATGATTCCTGGGCTATAAAGATCCTTTTGCCTCTGCTCAGTTTCCCCATCACCCCCTTCCACTACAATTCCCTTGTTGAATGTATGAGAAGAACAGCCCTACCCCAAAAACTATATATCAAACTATATACCAAAAAAAATTATAAATAAGAAGATCACTTACTCTAAAAATACAGAAATCCAATTGCCCCTCGGGGGATCAGGAAGGAATTTTTTTCCCTACAGGAGCAAATTGGATCATGCTTTGCTGGTTTTTTTTTTGCCTTTCTCTGGATCAACTGTGGGTATAGGATTGTTTTTTGTTTTTTTTTAATGGTTGAACTGGATGGACTTTTTTCAGCCTGACTAACTATGTAACTATGTAAATATTGTATTTTTGATGTATGACATATTTTTTGTATATATATATATATATATATATATACTTATTTTTTCTTTGCACTATTTGCGCATAGCACTTTGACATTTGTATGAATTTATGTATTTTTAGAATAAGTGAGTTATTTATTTATTTATATTAAGTGAAATATAATTTTTGGGGTAGTGCTGTTTTTCTTATACACTAATTTATGTTCATGATGGATCACATCAGAACTGAACAGCAGCTTCCATTTGAGGATAGGTCATTGTATGCTTAAATCACCTTGGCACAGTCCAGAATACTTTCCTTTCTCCTTGTTGAATGTAGTCACAAAATTCCAGACATGACCAGAAAAAAAGGGAAAAAAGTTTACCACAGTTTGAAAATGTTGAGGTTTGTTGTTCCCAAATATATAACCTTCCTTCCCTAGGACATGGCACACAAGTATCTTCTGGTATATACAGCCCTGGTGTATAGAAAAGGGTTCAATCACCCATTCGATTTTTATATCCCTGATTTACGTTCATTACTATCCAGTTAAACCCACTTTTCATGGCCATTATCAATCACCTTGTTCTTTGATATGAATTACATTTTATTATGTTAAAAATAACTTGGAACAGTAGGACTTTATTGGCCTCTAAATATTTACAGTAAAATGTATAACAAAACATTTGGTGGTGCACCTCCAAGAGATATATTTTTGCTGTACTTTCTTCAGCACCGTTTATTGCTCTTCAGCCGGACCAGTATGTTACCGTTCTGATCCCACAAGGTCTAACTTTTTCTATGGCTATACGTTCTACTTTTGGACAGGTCTAGCACTGACTGCTGCTTAGGGTGGTTCTCTTAGTAGTCCCACAGAGCTTTAGTTTGGTTTTTTTTGGGCCTGTACCACAAACACATTCTGACCTCAGGTGCTGTTCTGGATACCATCTTTCCTTAGCCTCATAACCCTCTAGGTCACAGGTGTCAAACTGGCAGCCCTCCAGCTGTTGCCAAACTACAAGTCCCATGAGGCATCGCAAGATTGACAGTTACAAGCATAACTCCCAAAGGCAGAGGCTTGATGGGACTTGTAGTTTTGCAACAGCTGGACGCGACCAGGGACGATGGCGGCTGTGTAATCCCTGAGCTCCGCTCATCCCCGGCCAGCAAGGACTCACCCGTCACGCGCCACTGCCTTCCTTCAGCTCCGGGTGAGTCATACACCCTCTGCCTGGCACGGCACCAGAACGAGCCCTTTATGGGGAAGATAGGGCGCTGGAAGCCCCCCTCCCCGCAGCCACAGGATCCGCGGCCGTCACCGCTTCGGCGGTTCCTATCCAGGCCGCAATCCCCGGCCTCTGGCATGTCCAGGAACTCAGGGAACGATCCCGGACTCCCGGTGGTCACGGAGGGTACTGCACCCTCAAGCATTACAGCTCCTCTGACTGCCTCTGCTCTGCTTCAGCCCCAGATGGAGGATCCTGATCCCCAGAATATAACTGGGGGGGCAATAGTTCATCCTGCCTCAGGCAATCAACACCCCTCCACCCAGATTTCCCAGCAGGCTGTCACATCATCTTCTCTCACAATTTCAGCGCTAGATGATAAATTGCAAATATTCTTACGCAATATCACCGCATCCATTTCCACTGAAATTGGAAAACTGGCGTTGGATCTCAGAGGGGAAATAGCGCAGATTGGTGACCGCACGGATAAATTGGAAACTGAGTTTGATGATTTGGTGCAATACGTTCATGTTCTGGAAGAGGACAACGCGTATTTGAAACATTCCATGTCCCAAATGCAGCTCCAACAAGAGGATTTGGAAAACAGGGAACGGCGCCAAAATATCCGTATACGCGGTATGTCCGAATCTATTGATGATGCACAACTACACCGTCACCTATTATCCTTTTTCACCGCAACTGCTCCCTTGGTTCCAGAAGCTGATTGGCGTATGGACAGGGCTCATCGCTCCTTGGGCCCAAAACCTGTTGAAGGCACCAGACCTCGCGACGTCATTGTTCGCTTCCATTTTTTTCAAAGCAAGGAAGCCTTATTATCAGCAGTTCGCCACAAGCCATCTCTGGAATTTAAAGGTGACAGACTCCAACTCTTCTGCGATCTGTCCCCGATTACCCTGGCCAAGCGGCGAGCTCTGAAGCCGATCACCTCACACCTCCAGCAACACCGTGTCCTTTATCGGTGGGGGTTCCCCTTCAGGCTGATCGTAACTAGGGACAATACTCAAGTTGTGCTCCGTGATCTTCATGAGGCGGATTCTTTTTTTAAGCGCCTGGGACTTCCACCTTTGTCAGATGACATGACCCCTCTGCCCCCACTCCAGTCCGTCCATCTGCTACCCCCAACAAGATCTGGACTCCAGTCCACAGAGGCCGGAAGAGGCTCTCACGTACCCCACAACGTCCACGACATCCTCGGACAACTGATCCGCCTGTCTGATGATTCCCTGGGGTGCTTCTCCGAAGTGACTTCGATGCCGATCCTTCCCTCCTGGTTTATACATTTTTTTTTTCCACAGGTTTTTCATTTCTGGCCGGCCGAACCATTGTTGGGTGTTTTTTTTTTTTTTTTTTTTTTTTTTTTTTTTTTCACTTTTGTTTTTTCTGGCCGGGTTTGGCGATCTCCCTGATGTCTTGGTTGTCGTGTTGCTCCCGATTTTGTCTAGCCATAGGCCTAGACGACTTGGGCCAAATTGTTGCTCCCAAGTTTATATCCTTGCGGATACTTATGTCAACTACTGTGTTTGTTCTTTCTTGTGTTAGTTTAAT